TAAGCCAGGCAAACCACAATGAAGGTCCCCGTTGGAGGAGATGGGTGCATGTGACCTTGGGTTAGGGGGAATAGAAGTGGGTGTTTTTGGCAACCTCAGAAGAGAGTGCAGGGATTGGCCAGGTCTGAGGCCCATTCCCAAGGGCAGCGTGTAGCAGGGAGTTTGCCGTGTTGCTACTGCACACCCTGTTGTGTGCAAAGAAGCCTTTGGCCTGCAGGGCTGTCAAACCAGCCCCAAATTCACACGCACGCAATTCAATTTAACCCGCGCCAATTTCCTACCTTGTACTGGAACCTATACTCTTTCCAGCCCCTTCCAAATGAGAATTGCAGAGAGCTTCATGGCCATTCATGAATTAAACCTTTCAGTCCCTCACTGGAATTAACCATCCCCATTTCACATATGGGGAAACCGAGGCCACTCAGAGCAAAGTAGTCTTGTTATCCAAGAATTCCGTGTCGGTGGCCCAAACTCCCAGGCTCCGTGGAAAGCAAACACTGCAGCTTTGTCGCAAGAACAATGTTTCCCAGTCAGGATTTCTCACCCCCTCATCCCACCGGTTTCACCCTTTGTTTTGACTGAAGAGTGTTGCAATTGGCAGGATCAAGGAAACCATTGATGCTAATGCTGAACAAAGGAGCTCCGCTCCACGAAGGGTGTGCAAGAGGGGGCCTTTGAAGTTGAACTAACAGGTCTAACTGGTGCATCCCACTTCCCAGCATAGAATTGCTCCTTCCATGTTACTGCTTTTTGCTGCCTAGTGTTAAGTGTCCCAAACAAAGGAGCTTTCCTTGTGAGCCTCAGCATTGGGAAGAAAGACTGTTGATCATCCCTTGCAGCTGCTTCTCCTGGTCCCTGGTGATCTCTGGTACGATGGATTGCAGGCAAACAGGTGAGAATCAAAAGATACACCTTGCGCACATGTTGCTTTGTTTTCTGCCTTTCAAGTTCTGCTGGGTTCTCAACCTTTCCAGGCCACTGTACCCCTTTCAGGAGACTGACTTTTCTTGCGTCCCCCCAAGTTTCACCTCACTTAAAAACGACTTGCTTACAAAATCAGACATAAAAACACAAATGTGTCACAGCTCGCTATTACAGAAACCTGCTTGCTGTTTCATTTTCCCCATATAATTATAAAATAAATCAACTGGAATATAAATATTGTACTTACATTTCTGTGTATAGTATGTTGAGCTGTCTAAACAAGTCATTGTCTGACACTGTAATTTGTACTGACTTCGCTAATGTGTTTTATGTAGCCTGTTGTAAAACTAGGCAAATATCTAGATGAGTTGATGTACCCCTGGGAAGACCTCTGTGTACACGGGCCCCTGATTGGGAACCCCTGGTTTAGGAGGACCTGAGGGTGAGGAGACTAGGAGGCTGGTCCAGTCTGATCTGTGTAGCCTTTGGTCTGCGGGGCTGTCAAGCCAGGACCTTACAATGGTAGCATTATTTATTGGTATTGTGGTAGCACCTAGGAGCCCTTGTCACCGACCAGGACCCCATTGCATGCAAGGTGCTGTACGAACATGGAACAAAAAGATGATCCCTGGCCCCAAACTGTGTCTAACATTTAGAAAGACACAAGGTGGGTGAGGTCATATAGTTTATTGGACCAACCGCTGTTGGTGAACAGAAGGGACTGGCGTGGTTACAACAACACTTCATACATCTAAGATATATGAATTTCACAGCTCTCTCTACCTGGGGTAATAGCACGGTGTGCTTCCCCGGGGCAGGAGCTTAGTGCTTTATGCCCTCTTCCCTTCCCCCCTCCCCATGAGATGGGTGTTATCCTCCTTGTACAAATGGGAAAACTGAATCTGAGTGCCCTGCATTTAGACTGTTACCTTGTGGACATTCTGGTGCATTTGCTCACGATGAGATGATTCTAGGAACAGATGCAGCCTAAATAAGGAGTTGTCTGTGGGACTAGCTGTAGGCCCTGCCTGGTCACTGGGGAGAAGGGGGTTCATGCCTCACCCCATCTCTGAGGTGGAAGGAAGGAAGGAGGGAGGACTGGAGAGAAAATCGGGTACATGGGCTCTGTGGAGACTACCCCCCATGATGGCCAATTGCAGTCATGGCAGCAGGACCCAGAGACTTCAGGAATGAAGGTGCCTTTGTCCACTAGGGGTCAGGCTTTCCCAGGTGCTGGGTGTCTGCAGTTTCAAATGATGTCCCTTGAGGTATTGGGTGCTCAGGTGCTAAAGCAGGGTCGCACCCTTTCAGAAGTGGTGTGCCGAGTCTTCATTTAGTCACTCTAATTTAAGGTTTGGCATGGCAGTATTACATGTTTCACGTTTTTAGAAGGGCTCTTTCTGTAAGTCTACAATATCTAACTAAACTATTGTCGTATGTAAAGTAAATAAGGTTTTTAAATGTTTAAGAAGCTTCATTTAAAATTAAATTACAATGCAGAGCCCCCCGGACCGGTGGCCAGGACCCGGGCAGTGTGAGTGCCGCTGAAAATCAGATCGCGTGCCATAGGTTGCCTACCCCCTGCTAAAGCTTAAGGGAGACACACCAAGACCACTGTAGAGCTGTCCCGTGCCTGCCGCTCCATTACGCCTGCTCCAGGCTGGATCGAAAATGGATCCTGAGACTGGAAGCCTCCACGGGCTCCGAGGTCGCCTCTCCGCAGCTCTCCGCGTGGTGGTGTGAATTCGATTGTGCCGTGGCTCCTCTAAAGCAGCAGGTGGGCCCGTCATCCTTGTGCTGGGCCTGATTCTTACTGCATCCTGTGGCAGCTGCTGGTACTGGCTCACCTTTGGAAACCTGCACAAAGGCCCTGGTGTCACCTGTTTGCTGAACTAGCCAGAATATGGAAGAAAGGGCACAATCACAGGCAAAGCCAAGGTACAAGCTCTGGGAGCTGCTGGCAGCTCTCGCTAGGGAAACCTCTCATGCTACATAAGGGCTAACTGGATCAGTGCTAGAACTGTCTGAAGAGCAGCCAGATGCTGGGGTGGGTGTGGTTAGTAGGGGGTGCTCGTCCCTCTCAAGTAATGTCCCTGTGCACCACCAGGGCTGCGATGCGGGACCAGAGATCCTTTAAAATCAACAAGGCCTTAATTGTTTGTGCATAGAGCCCTCCAGAGGGCTGTTTTTAAATCTTGTTCCTGCTATTATGGCAGTGGTTTCTGTGGGACCCCTGGGATCCCAGTACCGCTGCAGGGCTCTACGTGTGAGCTTAAAAACCTTCCTGCTAGCTTGGAAATTAATCTGGTATGTTAGCAGCCAGGGTAGGTTTCTCATTCCCCTCCCCACCGAGAGACCTGGTCCGGCATCCCACCCTTATCCTGAAGCACCTAACGCATTGAGCAGATGGCCAAGTGCATCCTCTACCTCGATGCATCTGGTCTGGTTGGGGGTCCACCAGAGGCATCCTCCACCCAGCCAGGCCTCTTCTGCTGGGCAGCCTGCTTCATCCTGACGTGGCTGGTATGTTGTCTTGCTCCCAGTGCACCTGGCATGCTTGGTGGCAGTCGAAGGGTTAGCACGCTGGCCCCCTGCAAGCCAAAGAAGACACAGTCCCTAAGCTGGGAGCTGATTCGGAGGCAGGCATTGGCAGGACCCACTATTTGGAGAAGGCAGCATCGTGTGGGCAGGGTGATGTCATATAAGCCTGAGTCACTGCTGCAAAAGGTGTTAGCTCCATTGTCCAGCCCTGCCCAAAACCCTTATCACTGCTCCCAGGTGGGGCCCTGGCTGGCTTGTCACCTCACTTGGCAATCAGCGATAATTCACCTGGAGTCTCCAGCACCTTCTGCTGGGGGATCTCAGAGTGCGTTGCACATGCTAATGAATGAAGCTCCTCACCCAGCCAGGGAGGTAGCTTGGTATCACCGCCCCTCCGAGCCTCAGTTTCCCCAGCTGTAAAATGTGGACAGGTCATCCCCAGCGTCCTCCAGGGAGTAAGGGGCAGAGCTGGGAACACATGCCCACTTCTGCTCTTACCATTAGATCCCACTCTACTGCAGCCAGGAATTCAATCCAGGAGTCCTGGGCTAGTCCCCTCCTGCTTTAACCTTGAGGTCACGCTCTCCCTGTCCCTGTGTACAAGGACATGTGGGTGCTTAGTGCTCTCTAACTTCCCAGAGGAAGCCGTACTGGTTTGCAGATCTTGGCTCCAGGGAAGCCAATTTTCCTTCTGCAGGGGGGAGCTGAGGTCCCCCAGACAAGCACCACCTAGGGGAAGCACTGTCAGCCAGGGGGGATGCTGATCTCAGTTGCCATCTGCAGGCTGCTACATCCCCTGAGCACCATGCTGGGCTCTGTATGCTCCCTTTCTGCAGCACCTCCTGTTCCCCCCAAGTCTCCCGCCCCACCTGGCTTAGCAAGGCCTGACTGAATCCCCGCTCTAGGCTGTGTGACTGTCAGGGTAGGTGTATGCAGCAAGGAGACACCCGTGGCTGGCCCTGGCCAGCCAACTCGGGCTCGCGGGGCTGCCACTGCAGTATAGACCACTGCTCCAGGACCCTGTCTCGGCGGGGCCTGAAGAAGATTCCCTAGCACCTCCCAGAGTGATCCTTGACATCCCAGGGAGACACGTGACGGCGGCCCCCTTCTCACAGGTGGGGAAACTGAGGCACCCAGCCAGGAAATTCTGAGGCAGGAGGAGACCTCAGGACTTCCCCATTCCCAGCCTCCTGCTCGCACTTCCAGGGAAGCTTTCTTTTTGACCCAGGCTTCACCCTGGGTATTTGGCAGCCTTTTAAAGGCACCCCGCCCCCCCCCGCCCGCGGTGGCCGCCTCTGCCTTCGGCGGAGCCCAGCCCCGTTGAGCGAAGGGGAAGGCGAGAGGCTGGCGCTGCAGGAGGAGAAGCGAGCCTGGTGATGGCCCCGAGGGCGAAGGGTTAACGGGGGGGAGGATCCGAGGCGCTGGGCGGGTCCCGGCTGTTGGATTCGGGGTGAGCGAGGAGGCGGGGGAGGAACCCGCAGCAAGGGGCGAAGAGGCGAGGCTGGAAGGAGGAGCTGCAGGAGCGGAGCGGAGCGGAGCGGGGGGGTCGCTCACCGCGCCCGGCCCCGGGGGTCCTGCCCGGGCATAGCGGAGCCGCAGCCCGCCCGGGGGAGCAGCCCGCCCCCTCTCCGCAGCCCAGCAGGTACGTTCCGATCGCCGCCTTTCAGCCATCACCGGCTACAGGTGCCCGCCCGGCTGGGCCGACCCCGCCGGGGGCTGGGCCAGGGGCGAGCTCCGGAGAATGGGTCTCGCAGCGCTCGGCCCCTGCCGGGGCTCGGCCTGCCCGGTCTGTTGCCGATCCCGCGGCTTCCTGGGTAACCTTTGCCCCGTGCTTTGGTGTTAAAAAGTGCAAGGGAGAGGCGAGTTGGCAGCTGCCTGGGGAGAGGCGTGTGGAGGAGAAGTGGCTGGAACAGGGGAGGCTGGGAGCGGGGCTCCTGGGTCCTCTTTCTGTCTCTAGGACGGGAGTGTGGTGGGTGGGGGGGGGCTGGGAGCTAGGGCTCCAGACCCCGACCCACGGGGTGCGTTCTCTGATGGCCAGAGCTGCCCTGCCGCTGAATTGCCTGCTGGCCTTTGGCAAGGTGCTCAGCAGCTCCGTGCCTCAGTTTCCCTGTCTGGGAAAGGGAACTGGTCATCAGTAAAAAGCAGCTTGAGCTCGCCCCCCAGATTAGGAGTGCCATGGGACTATCTTCCTTGCGGCGAAAGAGGGCTCTGTCTGGGAAAGAGCTGAGGAAGTGAAATGCCCCAAACTCCCTAAGCGCAGTGGTTTGAATTTTGCCCTCGGTAGGGTTGCTTGGTACGTCCTTGCGCCTTCTCAAGCTAGTTCTTCTCCGAGCTCTGGCTAAGGTCTAGCACAGCAGCCATTCAACAGCCAGACGCATCCCGGGGGATGGCCTTTTTGCCCTTTTCTGTACACCATCCTTCTCCTGGGATCGTTCAGGCAGCGTAGCTAAAGGTAGCAGACCCCAGAACAGCTATTCCCGCACGGTAAGGGTAATGAGCTTTACCCCAGTATCTGCGTCCACACTAGTGGATGGATATAATAATAGCAGTGGGAAATCCCACCCCTGCCAAGAGAGCTGTACCAGGACAAAATCTGTGTGTAGACCAGACCCTTCAGTCTGTCCCAGCTCTAAATTCTACCACCTTAAGCCCCGGCCTGCCCTCCAATTTTAGCTATGTGGGTTAGGAGTGTGATTTTATTATGATTGTATTTTACCAATGACGCTGTGCTGCTAAGAGCGCCAGCGTAGACCCCGTTACAGCAGCATCCGGGTATCAATGCAGTTAGAGTTGATGCTGTGGGGGGGGAACTATGCAGTGTAAGCTATTCGGGGACAAGCACGCTTGTCCCCATGTAACTGTGTCCACATCAGAGAGTTTTGCAGGTACTGGTGTAACTATACTGACAAATCCCATCAGCAGCAGCAAATCCCATCTGGAGGGAAGGAGCACGTGGCTGTGTTTGGTTATATTGGAAGTTTGGGTCAGCTCGGAAAAGTGACACTGGAATCAGGGCAGATCTGCTCCGTGTGTGTATCGGACGGGCTGACTTTAGTGACAAATGACAATATAGTCCCATGCAGAGCCAGCCTGCCTCTGGGTGTGGGAACTAAAGGGTATTCTACTTCATGCATGATCAATGGAGTTGCTTACCCTGTTCCCCTGGAGTTGCACCTGGCTGGCCCTCATTGAAGGCTCAGGTGTTGCTGAGGGCAGACTTTGGATGCTGAGGTGCAAGGTGGAAAGAATCCAGGCTCTGACTCTCTGATCCCCAGCTGGGTGTGCAGGGCTGGGTGTTTGGGGTGGGGGGAGAAAAGGAGAAGTGAGAGCCCTTTGCTACAGAATCCCGGGAAGGTGATCAACATGGAGCCCACAACTTCATTTTTAAGAACTACCTCTCAGGGGAAAACCTGGCTCTGAACTTGCCCTAAGGGAGGCTGCCCCATCCCTTTTGCAAGTGATTCTCCTCTGGAACCCATTTGCTTCTAATGGGTGCAAAGTGCTGGCTGAAAGGCCCCATACAAGTGCAAATCTGCTGCTGCTGGACCAAACTCATCCCTGTGTCACCTGGCTTCCCTGGAGTTCTGGCCAGGATGCATTTTGGCGGAGGATGTTTGAAGCACATCTCCCCCTGCCCCAAATCTGATGAAGTGAGCTGTAGCTCACTCAAATAAATTGGTTAGTCTCTAAGGTGCCACAAGTACTCCTTTTCTTTTTGCGAATACAGACTAACACCGCTGTTCCTCTGAAACCTGTCAGTATTGATCTTGGCTCCTTTCCTGAGGATGGCTTGCAGTCACAGTGTGAATCTGGTCTGAAGCGTGTTGTTCGGTCCTGGGGGAAGGGGCTCAGCCAATTAGCATTCTATCATAGAGCGCACGGCCCTCACCCCTTGTGTGGGTGGGGGCGAGATGACTGGCCTGCATGAGATGAGTGGGGCAGATCTCAGCACCCATTGTAAAAACAGCCCCGAGAGCCAGCTCAAGGTGCAGACCAAGAGGCCAGAGATCCCAGAGCTAGACCTGGCTCAATGTTTCAGTCAAAACAGTTTTCCAGCAGAAAAATGCCATTTTGACGGCGCTGAATTACTTTGCGGAACTGGATCCAGTTCGATGAACTGGCATTTAGGAAACATGTTTGGAATTTCTTTTGGGATAATGCCGCAATATGTTTCAGATGAAAAGTTTCCCTTTTTTTTTTTTCCCTACAAAACTTCTTTGCCTTTTGAAATTCACTTTATGCTGTATAATTATTTAAAACGGTCACATCAAAACATTTCATTTCAATTGACCTAGAAGGGGATTTCCCACCCCTGAAATTTAGTTTCAGAAAAGCTTCCGAATGTTTGGCTTTGGGGCCTGAGTCAGGTTGGAAAAAAATTTTAAGCTTGAAATATTTCACTGGATGGGCCGGACCAGCTCTATCTCCAATGGGCTGTGGAGCCTGAATTCCCCTTTCATCCCCCAGGGGGTCCGTCTACTGTGGCAGCAAGACACGTTGGCCCATAGGGTGAGCAGCTTGCCCTGTCATTGCCTGGGCCGGGCCTATTCTGTGGCTATAGGACTGAGTAGCCACCTGTCTTGGATGGTTTAGACAAAACAAATCCTGCATCTTGGCTGGGGGCTAGACTAGATGTCTCTTGCAGTCCCTTCTAACCCTATGATTCTGTGACCTTGTCCATTGCCTATTGGGGATCTTCATTGGGGGTGGATTGGACCTGAATGGACGTCCCAAGTCTGCTGTTTATCAGTCCCATCCCAGCCCTCAATAAGCTCGGGGCCTGATCCAACATGTGCTGAAATCCAATGGAAAAACTCCAGCTGACTTCAGACTCGGGCTTTGGAGCGGCCCTTAAATAGGATTTTGATCCCCTCTCCCCCAGGAATTTTATTCTCTTCTTGCTCTCCTAAGCAGTGCCTGGGTTTGTACTTTGGGGACTTTCCCCCAATCCAGCACTGAAAGGAACATAATTGCCAGACTGGATCAGACCCAAGGGGACCCCCACAGTAGTGGATGTGAGATAATCTACCCCCCCAACATCAGGTCTTATCCTGATCCCAGACAGAGCCCAGCTTGACCCCGACGCGATTTAATATCCCTTCCACAATCTGTTTGTATTCACTATCCTAGCTCAGGTAGTCTTGCTCGCTGTATAAGTGTCCAAGCCCCTTTTGAATCTTGCTGACTTTTTGGCCTCAGAGATGTCCTGTGTCAATGAGTTCTACCGCCAAACTGCATACCGCACAGGGGAAAGTATTTCCATGTATTGGTTATGAACTTGCCACTGGGGAGGGATAGCTCAGAGGGGGGAGGGATAGCTCAGTGGTTTGAGCATTGGCCTGCTAAATCCAGGGTTGTGAGTTCAATCCTTGAGGGGGCCATTTAGGGATCTGGGGCAAAAATTGGGGATTGGTGCTGCTTTGAGCAGGGGGTTGGACTAGATGACCTCCTGAGGTCCCTTCCAACCCTGATAGTCTATGATTCTATAATTCCATCTATTTGTTCCTATGTCAGGAGACAGGGAGGAGCTGGATCCCGTGGGGGGAGGGGATTCCAGTGGCACCTCCCAAGGCCTTACCTGTCATCTACCCCTATTATGTTGTAAGGATAACAAAGCTGCTCATCAGTTGAGCCAGGTAACATGATCCATGAGCCGCTTTGTCACTCTTAGGCAGGTGGCTGTTGGAATTCTTTGCAAAACATAAACACAGGTTTTAAGAGGGCTGGGTGTTGATTTTAGCCCCATTTGTAAGTTACAACTGAGTCCACCACAATTGATTCCTTTCCGGGGGCCCCCAGGACTCAAATCCTTGCTGTGATTTGAGCTCTTCCGGGATGAATCTAGCAGGCAGCCCGATGCCTGGCAGAAAGAATGACCTGTAATAACCGGGGCTGATCCTAGAAGGAATGTGCAGGGATGTCTCCTGCTTTAGCACGAAGGCATGTCTTCCTGATCCCAGCATATAAACTCAGCCTGGAGCAACAAAGTTTTACAATGGCTGGCATTTAAAATGGAAGAGATGTTTTCAATATATTCATGCACACTGTGGTGTGTTTGGATAGGAGTATGTTTGAGTCTGGGGGTGTGTCCAGGCATATAAGTGACCTACACTATCAAACAGTGTATTAAGAGCCTTTGCTCTGCTCCACAGGAGAGGGTAAGAGTATACTACAGCTACCAGCTGAGGGAGCTGCTCTCGCAGCTCAGGAGGTATAGTCTTGTGCTTGTAGGTCTGGATTTCAAACTGCACCACTGAGCCCAACGGGGCTGGTGTGTCTCTGTGTGTTTGAATCTTTTGTGTACACAGGTGTGTTTATGTAGGGTCAGTGTTTGCACCTGTCGAAGGTATTTTGGTGGATGGAGAGAATGTTGCCTACGCTAGAAAAGGTGCCAGGCAGCAAGCTGAGAGTGTTGGACAGCTGGCTTTGAATGACGGGCAGGCTGGTGCAGTGGTTAGGGCTTGGAAGACAGGGGGGCAAGTCCCAGCTTTGCTGTAGCCTCCCTGGGTGACCTTGGGCCAGTGCCTGGGCCTCCGTTCCCCATCTGTACAGTGGAGCTAACAGCAGCTGCCCTGTGTCGTGTGCTAAAGATCACGAGGTTCTGGGGCTGAGCACTGTGGTTGTTGAATGTGTCTAGCCTGG